GTTTGCACTACCTTTTTATTGTCAAACATAATTTTTGCCCATCAATTTTTGCATGATAATTGCATTTCATTTTCATTCTGTTTAATATTCAACAAGTTGAACAGATAATCCACCCTAACCCCGCTACTTGGTATCGGTATCGGCATCGGTATCAGCGAGTACCCAAACTGAAGTACTCGTACTTGTACTCAGTCTTGAAAAAACTGGTATCGGGACACCCCTAGGCAAGACCAATTTCTCCCATCCTGTAAGAGTTAATGCGCAAAAGCAGAGATGGAAACACATTTGCTGAATAAGTTCTGATGTAGCGAACATTTAAGGAGTCAGTATGCATGTGATTTCTTCCCGGTGGAGTCCAATGTGGAATAAAACAAAAGTCAGACTCATCACCTGACGTTATTCATCATAAATTAGTCTCGGATTAAGCTCCTATGTCAGGGCTATACAACTAAACTGCTCCGTGGGCCACAGTTACTGCAGCTCAACAGCAGAGATGGCAAAACTCACATTCGTTACTTAAGTAGAAGTACAAGAAACTGTGTAAAAATGACTTTGGTAAAAGTAAAATTTAGATTAAAGATGGGAAAGATGTCAGGACATACATGGTGTCAGCTGGACAGGCCAGGTAGGACTCAAGCTGCCTGGAGTTTTCCTGAGTATTGCCCTGCTTGATGGTGGAAAAGAAGTCCTCCTCCTCATAAGAATGAGCTGTATCATTTGGATGAACCACAGGTTGTTCCTTCAGATGTCTTTTGATGAAGTCAAGACCCTTTGAAACACAAAAATCCAAAAAATGATTTTATGATTTTCCACCAAATCCATCACCTTTACAATTCATCAATGGAATCATGGAAATAGATTACAATAACTGACAATATTTTTATCTAAGTTGTTGCATATGTATCAAGTATCTGATTCCACAATTCATTATCTAATGTGTGAAATATTCACATGAAGTCATAGTGACTTGATCATCAATTTACTTTTGTTAAAATTCATAATATATCCTACAATAATCCAGGCATTACACAATCATGATTCATGCATTGGTTTCTAATTTTTGCAAAAATTAAATGTGACTAACATTTTATTGTAGGACAAACAATTTTCTATTATTTCATGGATAATTCACATTGTAAAAAGTAACACTTTTTTAACTCTTACCAATATTTAGGATATTGTTGTCACTTCTCCAAGATATCTTAAACTTAGGGACCAGAATGGCAGCAGCAATGACCTCTGGATCAGTAAGCATCAGTTTGAAATGCTTTTCAAGTCCTCTTTGAAGAGCATCTATCAAAGGCCCACTAAAGTTAGAGGAATGTTGAAGGTGCTGGAGCTTAGTCTTGAGTAATGTTATTGTAGGTACCAGCCATCCCATCTGCACACTAGCCTCTCCCTGAAGAATATCAACTGCTTTTGCAAATGGGCTCATGGTCTTCACATATTCTTTCAGGAAGAAAATCTCAGCAGGAGTGAACATGTAAAAAGATAAAAACACAACACCATCTGTGGTTACAAAATGTTAAACATGTAAAATGACCATATATACCCATACATAGATTTATTTTCTTTCCACTCATATGTACACCAACTGGAATATGCATTATTCAGTAACATTACAACATTACAGCCACTAAGCTATAAAAATTGAGTGGTATGGTACTTACATGGCTGTAATGGCTCCATCACCTTGTTCCTTCATGATCCATACAATCCTCTCCACAGCCAGGAAAAGATAATTCCACCTTGTCTCATTTGGCCTCAAGAGCTGGAGTTTACATTTGTCTTCAATTATGTCTACAGCTGCTTTGGATCTACCACTTTTGTTCCATAGACTCCATGTTCCATGGTGGATCTTCATGCCCTCCTCCTCCTCACTAATCACCTCACCTGTTGGCGGTTTCCACTAATGAGCTCCTGGCATTTATAAGCTCCACCTGAACTTCTGGGCTTTGCTGATGCATCTCTCTGTTTATGGTAGAGTAATCAGCCACTGAGCTAAGCTAAGTAAAAGTGTTTATGTTACTTACCTTTGATATCTTGTTAAAGTTCCACCGCCATGAAGTTCGTGCTACCTTGAGCACCATTGAAAAGTCTTCCAAGGGAGGTTTTCACAAAATGATTCACTGTTTGGGTGTTTTTGCTACATGCCACTCTGCCTGAAGAGTTATCAACTTACCTTTGGATTTTTCATCCTCCTGGAGTTATCTCGCCATCAAAGTCCTACAGATGACCACTGCTACTCCTGTAAATAATAAATCACTTACCTTTTTGTACAACTTGTCCTGCCTCTTCAGTACCACTCATGGTCTGACTATTTCTGAGTTTATGTCAAGTCCATTGTAAGTGGTGTGGGCATTTGCTTCTAAAACATCAACTGTTGACACCAAGTTCAGGAGGTGGCAGGCACAGCGATGATGCTTTGGCAGCTGCTACTCTAAGCCATCATCTTCATCCAACATGGCTCCAGCTTCAACAAACTCAAGATCTATTTTGTTCCCCCTTCCTCCTCACTGTCCTCTCTTTCTGTTTCACTTGACTTGGACCCCTCAAGAAGTTCTTCATTGTTTTCATCCAGCTCTCCATAGGCTCGAAAAGTCTTAATAAAATTAGAGCCATTATCAGTAGTTGTGTGAACGATCTTGTCACGGATGTTGTACTCTGTGTGCATGTCATTCAGGGCACCAGCAAGTACAGAGAAGGTGTGTGATACTTTGAGTTGTTTGCATGCTAGTGCAGTAGAGCATCTCTTCAATGTTTCAGGCTCTATCCAGTGCACTGTGACACCAATGAAACTTCGTCTGTGTGCGGTCCAGCAGTCAGTAGTGGTAGCAATAAACTCAACCTCACTCATGGCTGCCTTTAGATTATTCTTCATTTCCAGTGTTGCTTTCTCAACCTTATTCTTATGGTTCCACGGGACATTACAACCACATCTGGTTGTAGGTGATTCACAAGATTTTTGAAACCCTCCTGTTGCACAATACTGAGAGGATGCAGACCTTGGACAACAAAGTTTATCATGGCATCACCCACACTGTTTTGTGACACTCTCTTGGTTTCCCACAGTTTGAGCTGTTTGGATGGGCCTTCATCGATGGATGCTGCTTTCCTCTTTAAAGTAGGCAAAGATAGGTTGTTATACCTTTGATTTGTGTGCTTTCTCTAAACAATGTGGACAGATAGTGTTAGAACAAAGTTGAGGTGGTGTTTATTTTCATCATTCAAAATACTTGGCAGTGAGAGCTTGGGTCAACTTCCTTATCTTGAGAGTTTAATCATTGTTTAATTTTGGTCTTGTATAATGTCACATGTTTCCATCTGAGCAGATTTGCTGAGTTGCAGTAATCGGGAGGAGGATGAACTCTGAAC